ATTATCCAACATGGGTGGCCCACCAGCGGCTGAGCGGTAAAGACGCTGAACACTGGTAGTTCGGTCCGAGGTTCGAATCCCTCGAACGGGCTGGCTGCATGGCCGTTTTCGTGGATTTCCCCATGTGTAACGTGTATACCAGCCAGTTTCCCATGGAAAGTCCTCCACGAAGTCATCCCTTCCCTTAGGCAGATAGCTCTCGAGGCTTTGAGTAATTAAATAACCTAACATTATAATGTATTTCTCCCACTTCCCTAGCAAGCCTCCGTGGTGTAACGGTAGCACGCTGGGCTGGTATTCCAGAGGTCAGTGGTTTGATTCCCGGCGAAGGCGGTTGCATATTTTTCATCTTTTCTGCTTCCAATTAACCTAATGACTCTACAAGTGGCGCCCGAACTAAAAAGGGTTGTGGATGATGATTCTCCGCACCCTGGATTTGGCGACTAGGTTCCCTAAAACCCTAGTCGCCTTTTAAAAAGGAGTATATAAGGTATTTCTCTCGCACTTCCCTAGCGTTCCTTCGTGGTGTGTGGGTTCTGCCACTGGTCTTATTCCAGAGGTCCGTGGTTCGATTCCCGGCGAAGGCGTTTGCTAATTTTTCATCTTTTCTACTTCCAAAAATCCTAATGACTCTACAATCTTTTGACGATATCTATAAAATAATAGACTTCAGGATTATGAATGGCAATGAAAAATGGATGCTTATTGTATGTTGGTACAACAATTTTTTTAATTATTTATATGATTTATATGATCGTCAACGAAGGCATCTCTCTCTTTAGGCAGATAGCCCTCGTGTGCTTTGCCATAATTAAATAATCCAATCCAATCCAACATGGGTCTACACATGCCAAGCACTTCTGACATAATAGAAATACATAACGTTGAGCAAATTCAAAATGTGGTATATTAGCCTAACGGCTCACAGGATAATTTAACGTGCAGGCAAGGCTCTGGTTTGTAGGAAACCGGAGAGACACAAACAAACGACTAAAAGCACTCAATGCCACTAAATCAAGTCGCTAATAATCCCGCTACAACTTGGCCCGGAATAAGCAAACAAGCTCTCAAACTAACTTCCCAAACTCTTGCTTAACTAGCCCTTTTTTCTACCTTAATCTGAATAAACTCTCGCTATCTCATTTACATTATAGTATGAAAAGCCTGGGTGAAAAAGAGATCGACAGGAAAGTTCTAACTTAAGGGGACTCATACACCTTAAAACCCATAAGATCTTCGAATATGTGACCGTTGCAAGAATTGGGATAACTTATTTATTTTAAAAGATATTACTTCCAACCTTTTATAGCTGACTACATAATACAGCTGCTTTCTGAAATAGTAATCAGAAAGTTTTGTGTTGCCGCAAATATTTTTATAATTTAATCCGCTTTGTGACAAAATGTTTCTTCATGTTTTCACCTTGCGCGCACAGTTTAAAATATTCTTTTGCATAATTTAATTCCATAGTTAATATACAGCTTTATAACACTTGGAAACTACTGCGAAGCAAAAATTCTAAGAATTTCATGTTAATTTTTTATTTAATTTGAATTTGAGATTATAAAATGTATTTATTAAAAAAAATCTGTAATGTTGAGCACACAATTTTTAAATATTAAAATATTCATCAGATTTTTGGTTTAGTTAGAAGATAGTGCCCATATAAAGAATTCCATCAAATTTCAAGTATTTATTATCCATTTTTAAAATATCATGCGCGCAAGTTGGAAACATGACGAAACATTTTGTCACAAAGCGGATTAAATTTCAAAAATATTTTGGCAACACAAACTATCTGGTTACTATTTCAGAAAGCAGCTATATTATGTAGTCAGCTGTAAAAAGTTGGAAGTAATTGCTTTTAAAATAAATAAAATATCCCAATTCTTGCAACAGTCATGTATTCGAAGATCATAAGGGGTTTAAGGTGTATGAGCCCCCTTAAGATGAACTATTATTTAAAAATAAATAGATAAACTTCACAAAATCGACAGTCAGCACTTCTCATTGTCCAGCATTCCGACATTTTTCTCGTTGTCCCACACTATGCATTCATTAAGCCATCGCGTTCATTTATAGTCAAAAATAATGTTTCGTAGTTCAATATAATGCGATTATCAGCAATGGCACTTCAAAAGCAGAACCAGCTATTTAGGTTTATATATGGTGCACTGCTATCTGGCAGATATGACTGAAATTTAAAAGTTTTCACAGAAAGTGAATTTTCAAACATAGCATAATTCCACACATTTCTACGAAAATTAAATCACTACAGGATGAAACTTCCTTTAAATACAATTTAAAAAATATTTATTGATTTTGGGATCATTCTGTAATAAATTATTTTAAAATAATGTTATGATTTGGGGAGGGCATCACGGTAATCGAATTAAATTATTTTAAAATAATATTATGGCTATAAATTTCTTTGGAGAAGCCAGTTTAAGTGTGTGTGTGCGTATGTGATTATGGCAAAGTCTCGAGGGTTACATGCCTAAAGGGAGGGATGCCTTCGTGGAGGACTTTCTAAGGGAAACTGGCTCGTATACACGTTACACATGGGGAAAACCACGAAAACGCCCATGCAGTCAGCCCGTTCGAGGGATTCGAACCTCGGACCGAACTACCAGTGTTCAGCGACTTTACCGCTCGGCCGCTGGTTGGCTCAAAGCTAGTTTAAGAAAAGGTAAAATACGATAGTTTTCTATTCATTTTTTGAGGTGGTAAGCTTAAACTTACAATGGTGCTTACGCAGATAGTTCTCGTCTGATTTACTAAACGTTAATCATTCAATCCACTTCGAACTTGAGACAGCCTAAGTGCACTTCTAAACATTTGCTAACTAGGTTGGATTTCTACTAGTTAATTAATGTTCAGTTTACTTAATTAGTAAAAAAATTAAGTTATGTTTCGCTTTCAGCGTAAGTGTGCAAACTGAAGCTGAAAGAACTTTTATTTCATAAGCTATCGAATTACTTAAGTTACATAGAAAGGAAGACATAGACAAACACTTTCTGATTGTATATGATTATTTATCTACTTAGATTCAGAAAGCATCAATAAGAAAGGCAAAAGAAATAGCGAAAATGTTATTGATATCATTTGCAAGAACAAAAAAACTTGTAGTATGCAATCAATGCTTATTAAATCATTAATTATGCAGAGTAAAAATATTCTTGGTTAATTCAAGACCACATATGATTACATAATTGTTTTAATTATTTTAACGATAAATGATTTTAGTACATGCAAATATCCTATTTTCTCCTTATTAATTATATATAACACACCAACTACATAAACTAATTCATGATTTTGCTAAGATTTTGCTATTTTATTAAGCGATTTTATATTTTCAATTCGCTATTACCACTCATAACTTAGATTCATATCACTTCCATATTTGATCTATCAAACTACACTCAAGAGCCAAAACATTATGACCACCTGTCAATAGTGATAGTGACGAGGACGTGGCCACCACCCCTTTACTATTAAGTTAATTAGCATATAGGGCCACGTCCGCCCTTATACAGAGTAAAGCCAGAGAGGCCACATGGGAGGCTTGCACAAGGCGCCCAAACCCAACGCCTGGACCATCCGTTGGCAGTTCCGCGAACCAAATGCCCCGGGTAGACACCCGTCCAAAGTGCCCGTCCTGATTTTGAATCTTCAAGAATAGCATTGTACATGGCTAAAAAAGGCCAGATATACATTAGTAGTTATTTGGCGCGCAACAGCTTTCAAAGCTTCAACCCACCTTGGCATGGATGCCGCAAGTCCCTGAGAGATGGCCGGAGACAGAATGTACCAGATGTTGTAGCAACAGTCACGAAAATCCGAGATATTGCGAATTGGTGGACTTTGACCTCTGAGCTGCCGTTCCATGACATCCCAAATGTGTTTCTATCGGATTGCGATCCGGTGAGTTAGGGCCAGGCATTACTGAAATCAGCATCATGTCCTAGAACCACTCCAACACAATTTTAGCCTTGTGACACGGCGTTGTCCTGTTGGAACATTCCATTTCCAGCTAGAAAACAGAGGCCATGTAAGGGTGCAACTGGTTCGCAATAATGTTCAGATACCCTGTAGCATTCATGGTGTGCTCTACCACAACCCACGGGCCCAGAGACGCCCAAAGAACGTCTCCCAGAGAAATACCCCGCCACCACAGGCTTGTGTATGACCTACTGCGCATTGAGGGGCAACTGTTCGCCTGGAGACGGCGTATCCTGACACGGCCAACGGCGTGTTTGAATGACACAACCGGATCATCTGGCCAGGCAACTCTCTTCCACAGATCCATGACCAGTTCACTATCTGGCTCCGGTTTTGCTTCACCATGCGAGAGAGGCACCGACGACCTTTTCCTTTTTTAGCGTGTGGACGTTCCAACACCATGTCGTTCTACTGCTGGTTTCACCGTCATTCATCCACTTTTCATACGTACTAACAACTGTAGTCGGAACAACCACGAGTCGTGCAGTTTCGGAAATACTTGTTCCCAGCCTTCGAGCCATTACAATCTGCCCTCTGTCAAAGTCGCTTAGATCCGCAGCCTTTTCCATCACACACAGAAGTAAGTGAAAGAAACTCTCCAGCAGCAGTTAAATGCCACTTCCACCTGATCACGTGCCTTCCACGTCATCCAGGTGCGTTCATCGCGAAATGTAGCGCTGGTCATAATGATTTGGCCCTTGAGTGTAGTTAGTAGCTTCTTAAAAAGTGACAAGAAGCCCCATATTTATGTTATCAGAGACAGATTCTAATAAGAAAGTCAATTAGCATAACTAATAAGAAGGTCAGCATTCTAATAACTAGGCCAAGGTTTACTAGCATCGTATTGATTCGATAATAAAACTCATCCTAAGCGGTTTAATTAACAGAAAAACTGTATATCTCAATAGCAATAATGTTAAAATGTATATCTCAACAGCACAAAGATAGGAAATGAACAGGAGATAGGAACATCACAGAAGAAAAATTAAACTTACTTTCTCTGTATTGTAAAACATTGGGATGCTTTTCATATATTGCAACACACCTGAAGCATTTTTCCTTCCTGTAAATGAAAGAAGAAAAGTTATCAATAATTATATTATGCGTTCAGATTAGTTATAAAATAATTTTTTTTAATCTAAAAGTGAAAATCCATTTGCATCGCATCTACTAGCGCCAATACAGAACAACGCCAAAACAAATATTTCATTACCATTTGTTACCATTCTGATTTTATTCTTAATGTCGCTTCTAGAGGAAAAAAATTAAGCTTTTTAATTTTTTATTTTCCGAAAAATTGTATAATTCCGCAAAATATTAATAAAAAAATCACATCAAAACCGAGAAAAAATATTCTCACTAAAGATAAAAGATGTCCAACTCTATGAAAGAAATCAAGAAACCGCCACAAGTAATCCTATAAGAATATTTAAATATTTCCTCAAGAATAATGTAATATAAATATTCGTAAATAATTAAATAACAAAAGATAAAGAAATAATAGTAAGAATTATTTATTTTAGATTTCTATGAAATAAAGTATAATGTTACAGAGGAATGAATAAAAGTGTTTTTTTAAAGACAGAAATTATGACTTAAAAACAATAATTGACAAGAGTAAGAATAATATGTGATAATTTCAAGAAAATTAATTAAATATTAGAGGCGGCGTCCAGATTTGCTTTAATAAATGTCAAATATTTTAGCACAACAGACTACATATGGTTAAATAAGAAAAATATACATACTTTGTGTTTCCATGTTAAAAAATAAAAAAATCTAGGTTTCAGATTTTAAATTACGTCTAAAGGGGTTCTTTTAATATTTACCTTTATTTATTAAATATCATGTTCTTCACACTTGAACCATAAAATTCAGTTCAATATCAATATCGTAAAATAAAATTTAAAATGAGCTTATCTTTAGAATATCCGATACAGAGTCTCTAGCTCTGGAGATATTTTTTTCCCCGCACAGTGTTACCGTGGCTCGTATTGATATTGTTTAGTTCTTTAATCGAAAATTCGCTGAAGTGTTACAAAACAGGAAATCGATAATAAAACAAATTTAAAATTCAAATTAGGGCTTCCAGAGGCCCATATTCTATGGAAGATTACGTTATTCAAATTTTGATGGCTCTAGATACCGTCGTTTTATCACAATATGAGAAACATACATATGTTCATGCAGATTCTTCATTATTTAATTTAGATAAAATTTGGTGGCAACAATTTGAAAATTTAAACAACGCTTATCGTAAATCGACGCAAAATGCCAAAACGAAATTGATAATCTTTCAGGGCAAATTGCCGCTTTGGACAAAAAAAATTACTTAAAAATTATAATGTTTAATAATACTATTGTAATCAGTTTAATCAGTTTATAATACTATAAATTAAAATCAGTTTTTAATTGACATAAAAATGTATTAAACCACAGAAATAAAAAAGTCCATCATAAATTTCTTTAAAGCCTAGATTTTAAATTAAAACGAATTTTTAAACTGCTCTCAAAATCTAAATCTAAAAAACAGAGAAAAAAGTACACTTGTGCCGAAAATTATGAAACTTCGCCCATTATGTCGAATTTCTAAAAAACTAATGGACAAATTTTAAAAGCATAATTATCAATTAAGTTCATAGTGCAGGAATGTTTAAAATCTACGTTGTGTGATAGAACTGAAAATGAGTCTAATATGAAGTATGAACCCTGTCACAGCCAGACAGGTAGCTCATCGAAAAGCCATACTAGATAGGAGGCAGTTGAGGAGACTCTGTGGCAGTCGATCGCACTTTTACAGCAAGGCAATTTTCAACTCAGGAATGTTTCGAACGAAGTTAAACTATCCTCCCAAGAGTGTCCCAGATATGTTCTTTCGCTTTATGGTCAGGATTCATGCTGATAATATCCTCACGTTCCAAGCTGAGCTATAAGTGCTGAGCTCACACTAGCTGAGCTATAAGTGGATGAACGTTACCGTCCATTAACCCTGCACTGCTCGCGCGGCGTCCAACAGACGCCAGGGATGCTTCTTTTTTAATTGCTTTATAAACGGATGCGCAAGCAAACTTATGCTGCTGTTTACCTTTCTGTCAACTATACACAAATAAGTAGAAATCATCGAAACAACGCTATTTTCATTTTAGTGCTGAGAGGAAGAGGTTATAAGCCGATAAGCACTGCTGGAGTCTAGCAGACGCCACGCGACCGTTTTTGATTCTAAAGGTAAGTATTTTAAAATTTATATATTCTAGTATTTTTAATTTATATTATCAACAGCTGTCTCTAGTAGTGTTTTTTTTCCCATTTTTATTGATAAAATGAAAGAAATTGTATATTTAATTTTAAATAAAAAGAATGTATTTCTTTTGGTATTTAATAATTTTTATGGATAACATTTGTTTTATTATTTATTTCTTACCTTTAGATTCAAGATGACTTCTCATAAAAATTTAAATATTTGACACTAATATTTGTAACCATTTGTAATGTTTGCGGTATATTTCCGTTGGTGACGTGTATAATAATAGATAATTTAGAGAAAAAGTTTTTGGATATTTTATTTATTTTATACATGGAAATGTTCATCCTTGGAAAGGGTATATACTTTTTCGCGATCAGGTAATTTCATATATGTGCTTTTTACCGAGTTTAAAGATTCACAGAATTTTTTTGCATATTTCGTTGCAAATTTTTGTAATTTATGAGAAAATAGCAGTGTAGATGGATAAAGTTAAGACTGTGTGCAATGCCATTTTTGTTCAATTCTGGGATGTTTTTTTAAGTAAAAATAAGTCGACGTGTAAATGGTTTATGTGTATGTGCTATTCTGAAAAACGCGCAAGGAGTTTGCGATTGTGGCACTTTTTCCCCCCAATTTTGCAGTTAATGTTTGTCATGATTAAGCAGTTTTGTTACATAAAATTTCTAGCATAAGTGTAATTCGGCTAGTAGATTGTTGGAAAAAGTGTTCAGTAAATAAAAAGAAAAGAAACATGTCTTTACTTCGTGAAGACAAAATGGCGGCAAAAAAAAAAAAAATAGAGGGTTGCTGTAGCAGAGTTGGTCGCCACATTTTCGCCAAAAAATCGCCAAGTTACCATAATCCAAAGATCAACCGAACAATTTCTAAGTACTGCACATCTACATAGCACAAAATCTTTAAGTTCAGAGAAATAGTACTACGTATGCTGATGGAAGAATATGAATCAGGTAATGAGTTTGATGATTATAGTGATGCAGAAGAAGATAGAGTGGAAACAAGAGAAGAAAAGCCAAGTCACCGAGCAAGAAAGCCTCCAATGATAGCAATAGGGATGATTACATTGCCGATAATTATTTCCTAGGCCAGAATAAATCATCAAAATGATCAAAAGTTTGCCCACCTAAAAATAAAAAATATACGCACTCGGCGACATAATATTATCACTCATTTGCCAAGGGCCATTATTATCACTCATTTGCCCTTGGCAAATGAGTGATAATATTATGTTGTGTTGTAAAAAATGCTCGAAATGGAAAAGGTGTTGCAAAAAATGCTCGAAAGCCGGAGCAATGTCGGGCATGATTTTTTCAACAGTGGCATGCTATCTAATATAGTTAAGTTCACAAATGAAAAAATGTCCACAGAACAGGAAAATTATTCTCGGGAAAGGGCTGTCCATTTGACCGACATAATTGAAATAAAAGCGCTTCTAGGCGTATTACTCATTTGTGCTTCCCGAAAGGACAATCATGCAAATAACAAGGACATATGGTCCTCTGGTAAAATGGGTATTGAGTTATGCCATCTAACAATGTCTGAAAAACGATTTAGGTTCCTTTCATATTGTTAATGGTTCGACAATAGTGATTGTTTGCTTCAAAATAATCTTACTTTGGTTAGGACTATACGTAACTAAGGAAAACAAGGTGGTTCTTATTCTCTCCACTATGCATCATGATGGTGTAATTGATGAATCATGTGAAAAAAAGAAGCTACAGATGATAACCTTTCATAACGCAACTAAATCAGGAGTTGACACTGTTGACCAGTCGTGTAGCACTTACAATATCGCCACGAAAAAGAACAGATGCCCTATGGTGCATTATCATATTTTATAGCATGATGAATGTAGCAGCTATACATGCTCAAATAATATATCATGCAAATAACTTATCAATCAGGACCAGGCGCAGTGAGTTTTTAAAACTTTTGGGTAGCTTATGATTCCTTGCGTAGACGTTCTCAAATTTTATCATTACCTAGAAACCTCAAGGAGGATATTCAGAGCATTTTCCCAGGTAAGGGTATAGTTCAACTTACAGTAGAGGCTTGAACTACTAAAAGGCAGAGATGTTATGAATGTAGTCTCTCCAAGAACAGGTACACCAAGTACAAATGCCTTAGTTGTAAACATTTTTATGTTTAGGAAACAGCAAATATGCATTGATTGCTAGTTTGTGCAACTAACTAAATGAGACAATCTCACTTGTATTTTCCATTTGTATTTGAGTTAAGTTCAATAAAATTAAGTCTCACTGTAAACTGAAGTTTTGTTATTTGTGTTTGTAATAGGATACCACAAATATATATATGTTATTTCAATAATCCCTTTGCATTCATAAATTTGAGTTGAATAACCTAAATATATATTAGTACAGCAAAAATATACCTGGCGTCTGTGAGACGCCACGCGACCTTTAACGTAACAATATGCCACGCGAGCACTGCAGGGTTAACTGGAATCCAGATCAACTGCGCCTCAGAAAAGTTGAACATAGGGCTCTAAGATCTCCTCTGTGTATCTCGTTATCAATCAAACCTTTGTCCTCCTACTTTTGTCAAACATGTATAGCAGTTTGAGGTACATGTACAGCAGCAACATGATGCCTATCCAAACCATTACACTTGCATCACTGTAATAATCCTTTTCCTTGATGAAGGAGCGATGGTATCGTGTTTCAGGCTCTCTCCAGTCTGGTCCAAGACGCATGTCTTAAGTCTAGTCCAAGACGCATGTTGTCTGCCCCATGCTAAACGCGCTTGTCTGTGTGCTACAGTGGGCAAAACGAAAACAGCGG